TAAGTAAATATATATATATATATATATATATATATATATATATATATATGACTTTTTATCGTGTCATTTTATTGACACCCGCGTAAGCACGATGCGCCACGACGACTGAGAATTGCATACAAATCGAGAAGGAGACAGATGCAAGCGTGCTGAGAAAACTCGGGATACCTCGAGCTAGGCAATTTTCGCTCGTCAGACAGAACGTTAAGAGTGATATTTAAATCAGGAAGCAGGTGATTCCGTGCTACTCGACCACGGGCGCAGTTTCACAAGTGCACACAAATGACGAGTGGAGAGAAACTCTTGTATTACGGCCACGTCAATCGCGTCAAGCCAACGTGTTCCACTATTGCTTCCCCACGACGGTTTCGCGACTCTTCAACCCTTTTGCATGGCCTCTTGTTGCACTGTCACCCTGCCTCTACTCTTTAAGGCTTCGTTTAGAATGGGGTTACCATTCGTTCCAACTGCTTCTCGAGTGCACTTTTTCTCCATGCTCGTGGCATTTAACGCGAAGCTGCACCGGCAAATATAACAAACAGAAAAATAAATCTCTCCGACCCGAAGAAATTATTTAACGTGAGCTCGAAGCGGTGAATCTTCTGCCCGTTTAAATTCTCGACATGACTTACAGAATATGTCCAATTAAACGTCAAATTATGTCAACGTTCAATCGCGACCATTGATCGCTCTCGACGTTGCAGCAATCATTATTTCTTCAGCCATTCGTGTTCGCGAATAAACAATTTTACATTCTTACGATATATCTCGCTCTTGATAAAAATTTCCACGAACGGACGCGATTTCGGCTTTGCGTAACAGCTTAATCTCCGCCGCGAAACGACAGTTCTTACGGCAGCCAACGCGAATGCCCGGAGGAAATCTAGCCGTGATCGACATCCAACAAGCACTCGCGTCGTACGTGCATTCTCAGTAATGCGAATCCGATGCTTTTAAACGGCGTTCACCGCGCCTTGTACGATCTTCCGACTGACGCGAGCGTCGTTAGTATCTCTTGCGCGCGAGCGAGCGTCCGCGCCGAAGGGGGTTTTGGCGGTGCTCCA